GGAACGTCCCTTCTCCCCTTCTTCCATGATAATAATGAGGAACGTCCCTTCTCCCCTTCTTCCGTGATAATAATGAGGAACGTCCCTTCTCCCCTTCTTCCATGATAATAATGAGGAACGTCCCCTTCCCCTTCTTCCATGATAATAATGAGGAACGTCCCTTCTTCCGTGATAATAATGAGGAACGTCCTTCTCCCTTCTTCCGTGATAATAATGAGGAACGTCCCTTCTCCCCTTCTTCCCGTGATAATAATGAGGAACGTCCCTTCTCCCCTTCTTCCATGATAATAATGAGGAACGTCCCCTTCTCCCCTTCTTCCGTGATAATAATGAGGAACGTCCCTTCTTCCCCCTTCTTCCATGATAATAATGAGGAACGTCCCTTTCTTCTTCCATGATAATAATGAGGAACGTCCCTTCTTCCCTTCTTCCATGATAATAATGAGGAACGTCCCTTCTCCCCTTCTTCCATGATAATAATGAGGAACGTCCCTTCTCCCCTTCTTCCATGATAATAATGAGGAACGTCCCTCTTCCCCTTCTTCCATGATAATAATGAGGAACGTCCCTTCTCCCCTTCTTCCATGATAATAATGAGGAACGTCCCTTCTCCCCTTCTTCCATGATAATAATGAGGAACGTCCCTTCTCTCCCTTCTTCCGTGATAATAATGAGGAACGTCCCTTACTCCCTTCCCCTTCTTCCATGATAATAATGAGGAAGGAAAGTCCCTTCTTCCATGATAATAATGAGGAACGTCCCTTCTCCCCTTCTTCCGTGATAATAATGAGGAACGTCCCTTCTCCCCTTCTTCCGTGATAATAATGAGGAACGTCCTTCTCCCCTTCTTCCATGATAATAATGAGGAACGCCCCTTTCCCCTTCTTCCATGATAATAATGAGGAACGTCCCTTCTTCCCTTCTTCCATGATAATAAATGAGGAACGTCCCTTCTTCCCTTCTTCCATGATAATAATGAGGAACGTCCCTTCTTCCCTTCTTCCATGATAATAATGAGGAACGTCCCTTCTCCCCTTCTTCCATGATAATAATGAGGAACGTCCCTTCTCCCCTTCTTCCATGATAATAATGAGGAACGTCCCTTCTCCCCTTCTTCCATGATAATAATGAGGAACGTCCCCTTCTTCCATGATAATATGATAAATAATGAGGAACGTCCCTCTTCTTCCCCTGAGGAACTTCTTCTCCCCTTCCATGATAATAATGAGGAACGCCCCTTCTCCCCTTTCTTTCCGTGATAATAATGAGGAACATCCCTTATCCCCTTCTTCCATTGATAATAATGAGGAAGTTCCTTCTTCCCTTCTTCCGTGATAATAATGAGGAACGTCCCTTCTCCCCTTCTTCCATGATAATAATGAGGAACGTCCCTCTCCCCCCTTCTTCCATGATAATAATGAGGAACGTCCCTTCTCCCCTTCTTCCATGATAATAATGAGGAACGTCCCTTCTCCCCTTCTTCCATGATAATAATGAGGAACGTCCCTTCTCCCCTTCTTCCATGATAATAATGAGGAACGTCCCTTCTCCCCATGATAATAATGAGGAACGTCTCTTCTTCTTCCATGATAATAATGAGGAACGTCCCTTCTCCCCTTCTTCCATGATAATAATGAGGAAACCCTTCTCCCTTCTTCCTAATGAGGAACGTCCCTTCTCCCCTTCTTCCATGATAATAATGAGAACGTCCTTCTCCCCTTCTTCTGATAATAATTCTTCCCCCTTCTTCCGTGATAATAATGAGGAACGTCCCTTCTCCCCTTCTTCCATGATAATAATGAGGAACGTCCCTTCTGATCCCCTTCTTCCATGATAATAATGAGGAACGTCCCTTCTCCCTTCTTCCATGATAATAATGAGGAAAACACGTCCCTTCTCCCCTTCTTCCGTGATAATATGATGAACGCCCCATCTCTCCTTCTGTAGTGATGAGGAACGTCTCTTTCTTGTTAATCCATAACAGGGAGTAGCTTCTTATACAGTGAGGAACAGAAGTATTTGAACCCCCTGCGATTCTGCAAGTTCTCTCCACTTCTCCATCATGGAGGGTCTGACATTCACATTGCAGGGGATTCCCACTCTGAAGGACAGAATTCAGGAGATCTCACATTGCAGGGGATTCTCATAACTCTGAGGACAGAATTCAGTATTAATCACATTTGCAGGGGATTCCCACTTCTGAGGACAGAATTCAGGTCTGATTCACATTGCAGGGGATTCCCACTCTGAGGACAGAATTCAGGAGATCACATTGTATGATTTGTAAAGAATGTATTTGTCTCGCACTGCTGAACAGAAGTATTTGAACCCCTGAGAAGATCCGTGTTAATATTTGGTACAGAAGCCTTTGTCTGCAATTACAGAGGTCAGACGTTTCCTGTAGTCCTTGACCAGGTTTGCACTGCAACAGGGATTTTGGCCGACTCCTCCACACCGATCTCCTCTAGATCTGTCAGGTTTCGGGGCTGTCGCTGAGCAACACGGAGTTTCAGCTCCCTCCAAAGATGTTCTATTGGATTTAGGTGTGGAGACTGGCTAGGCCACTCCAGAACCTTGATATGCTTCTTACGGGGCCACTCCTTGGTTCTCCTGGCTGTGTGCTTTGGGTCGTTGTCATGTTGGAAGACCCAGCCACGACCCATCTTCAATGCTCTGACTGAGGGAAGGAGGTTGTTGCTGAAAATCTCACACAATAAATGGCCCCATTCATCCTCTCCTTAATACAGTGCAGTCGTCCTGTCCCCTTCGCAGAAAAGCACCCCCAAAGCATGATGTTACCAACCCCATGCTTCACAGTAGGGATGGTGTTCTTGGGATGCAAATCATCCTTCTTTTTCCTCCAAACACGATGAGTGAAGTTTAGACCAAAAAGTTCTACTTTGGTCTCCTCTGACCTCATGACTTTTTCCCATGCCTCCTCTGGATCATCCAGATGGTCATTGGCAACCTTCAGACGGGCCCTGGACATGTGATGACTGGATCAGGGGAACCTTCAGACGGGCGTGGACATGTGATGACTGGGCAGCCAGGGGAACCTTCAGATGGGCCTGGACACGTGATGGAGCAGGGGGACTTGTGTATGGGGAACCTTCAGACGGGCCTGGACATGTGATGACTGGAGCAGGGGAACCTTCAGACGGGCCTGGACCGTGCAACCTTCAGACGGGACACGTGATGAACTTGCATGATTGGAAACCATGACAGCGTAGTGTTTTCTACAGGGGAACATTCAGACCGACAGTGACCTTTGAAACTGTGGTCCCAGCTCTCTTCATGTCATTGACCAGCTCCTGACCCTTGTAGCTTCTTCTGGGCTGATTCCTCACTGATTTCTTCTCATCAGTGATACCCCACGAGGGGACATCTTGCATGGAGCCCCAGTCCGAGGGAGACTGACAGTCGTCTTTAGCCTCTTCCATTCTCTAACAATTGCTCCAACAGTTGATCTATTTTCACCAAGCTGCTTGGCAATTGCCCCGTAGCCCTTTCCAGCCTTGTGGAGGTCCACAATTTTGTCTCTGGTGTCTTTTGACAGCTCTTTGGTCTTGCCCATGGTAGTAGTTGGCGTCTGACTGACTGTGGGGTGGACAGGTGTCTTTAAAGAGCTCAGACAGGGCTACTAAGTGAGATGAATGAGTGGAGTAGAGGGGGCTTTATAAAGGCGCAGTAACAGGTCTTTGGGAGCCAGAATTCTTGCTGCTTCTCAGGGGTTCAAATCCTTCTGTTCAGCCGTGCGAGACAAATACATTCTTTACAAATCATACAATGTGATCTCCTGAATTCTGTCCTCAGAGTGGGAATCCCCTGCAATGTGATTTCCTGAATTCTGTCCTCGGAGTGGGAATCCCCTGCAATGTGATTTCCTGAATTCTGTCCTCAGAGTGGGAATCCCCTGCAATGTGATCTCCTGAATGTGATTTCTGTCCTCAGAGTGGGAATCCCCTGCAATGTGATTTACTGAATTCTGTCCTCAGAGTGGGAATCCCCTGCAATGTGATCTCCTGAATTCTGTCCTCAGAGTGGGAATCCCCTGCAATGTGATCTCCTGAATTCTGTCTCAGAGTGGGAATCCCCTGCAATGTGATCTCCTGAATTCTGTCCTCAGAGTGGGAATCCCCTGCAATGTGATCTCCTGAATTCTGTCCTCAGAGTGGGAATCCCCTGCAATGTGATCTCCTGAATTCTGTCCTCAGATTGGGAATCCCCTGCAATGTGATCTCCTGAATTCTGTCCTCAGAGCAGGAATCCCCTGCAATGTGATCTCCTGAATTCTGTCCTCAGAGCGGGAATCCCCTGCAATGTGATCTCCTGAATTGTGTCCTCAGAGTGGGAATCCCCTGCAATGTGATCTCCTGAATTCTGTCCTCAGAGCGGGAATCCCCTGCAATGTGATCTCCTGAATTCTGTCCTCAGAGCGGGAATCCCCTGCAATGTGATCTCCTGAATTGTGTCCCCCTGCAATGTGATCTCCTGAATTCTGTCCTCAGAGCGGGAATCCCCTGCAATGTGATCTCCTGAATTCTGTCCTCAGAGCGGGAATCCCCTGCAATGTGATCTCCTGAATTCTGTCCTCAGAGTGGGAATCCCCTGCAATGTGATCTCCTGAATTCTGTCCTCAGAGTGGGAATCCCCTGCAATGTGATCTCCTGAATTCTGTCCTCAGAGTGGGAATCCCCTGCAATGTGATCTCCTGAATTCTGTCCTCAGAGTGGGAATCCCCTGCAAATGTGATTTTCCTGGGAAATTCTGAATTGTCCTCGGAGTGGGAATCCCCTGCAATGTGAATGTCAGACCCTCCATGATGGAGAAGTGGGAGAACTTGCAGAATCGCAGGGGGTTCAAATGCTTCTGTTCCTCACTGTATATATATCATATTGGTAACGGTGAGCAGTGTTATAAATGGGCGGGGTCAATATTCCTACATTAAAATGTAAGTTGAACGCTTTTCTTACATTAAATATTTTTTTTTCTTCCTGCAGAACATGAGAGTTCAGATTTCCATGAGTTTGCAGAAGAAGACGAGGCAGGGAACACAGAAGGTGAGGACTGTCCAACGAGTGGCCATAACGAGGATACGGAAGAGTTCCCAGAAGAGGCAGATGCTGAGACAGACGGGCAAACAGCTCCCGAGGAACCAACCAGGGATGGGCCGCCATCGCTCAAGCAGGATCATGTGACCAGCCGGAGGCAGCAGACCCTGAGAGATCATACCAGTCTGATCTATGCAGAGCAGAGCCACTTCCGCAGGACCATGGCCCAGAAGTTCAATATCCTCAATAACAATGTGAAAGCATTAAATAAAAATGTAAAAGCCTTCCAGAGGTCATTCAGCGAAAGCATGGCTGCCCTGTCACAAAGCATGCAGCAGCAGAACACCATCCTGGACAAACTCGCCTCCAACTTGCTCTTGCTGGCCGAACAGCAGCAGCAACACAACAAGCAGTGTATGAACGGCATGCAGCAAGTCCTCCACCATCTTGATGTCCACCAAGTATCTCCTTCCCCCACGCCCAGCGACAGTGCCAGTGACAGCTCTCCGCTGCCCATAGATGCCAGAAGAGGGACCGCATTGGAGACGGGTCCGAAGACGCAGCAAATCTCAGATCTCTCCAGAACAGACACCCAAAAAGGGGCGTCACTGAGCAGCCTGGAAGATGACTGTGATGGAACCCCTGTAGCAGTGTCCTTGTAGGAGACAAAGTTCCAGAATGCAGGTATCTGGATCTCAGTCCTGGAACGCGACTCCCTCACAGAGTGGGCCTCCTTGTCACCAGCTGACTGTCCTTCTAGAACCGTACATCAGCAGGTATGGCTGTGAATGCTGGAAGGAAGATCTGTGACCTCCCAGTGACTGTTATTACTCCGACCTCTCCCCCCATGCTGTCTTCATGTTGGCAGAGTTCCGGAAATTTCTATCCATCTTACCAAAGGGTAGATAGTTGTATATAGAATTGTGTAGAATAAACTTGCTGTAGAATAAAACATGAGCCTCGAGGAGGTTTGCTTTTCTGCTTTTATTGTATGTTTCTTCTTATGTCATCAGTTTCTTGTCTCGCGTTCCTCCCTTCCCGATCCCCCCCCCCCCATTCTGCTGGGTCTAGTGTCTCTCTACCCTCGATGCCTCCCTACTCCTGGATCGTCCTCGTCTTCTTCTCCGTCCCTTTTTCTGGACGTCCTTCATCTTCCTCTCCCTCCCTTTTTCTGGACGGCCTTCATCTTCCTCTCCCTCTCTTCTGGACGGCCCTCGTCTTCCTCTCCCTCTCTTCTTAATGGCCCTCATCTTCCTCTCCCTCTCTTCTTCTGGAGGGCCCTCGTCTTCCTTTCTCTCTTCTGGGCGGCCCTCGTCTTCCTCTCTTCTTCTGGATGGCCCTTGTCTTTCTCTCCCTCTTCTGGATGGCCCTAGTCTTCCTCTCCCGCTTCTTCTGGACGGCCCTCTCTTCCTCTCCCTCTTCTGGATGGCCCGTGTCTGCTCCCTCTCTTCTGCATGGCTCTCATCTTTCTCTCTCTCTTCAGGATGGCACTCGTCTTTCCCTCTCTTATTCTGGATGCCCTTTATCTTCCTACCCCTCTTCTTCTGAATGGCCCTTGTCTTCTTACCCATCTTCTTCTGGATGACCCTTGTCTTCCTACCCCTCTCTTCTGGATGGCCCTTGTCTTCTCCCTCTCTTCTAGATGGCCGTCGTCTTCCTCTCCCCTCTCTTCTTCTGGATGGCCCTCGTCTTCCCTCCTCTTCTTCTGGACGGCCCTAGTCTTCCTCTCCCTCTTCTTCTGGATGGCTCTCGTCTTCCTCTCCCTCTTCTGGATGTCCCATGTCTGCTCCCTCTCTTCTGCATGGCTCTTGTCTTCCTCCTCCCTCTTCAGGATGGCCCTCGTATTTCCCTCTCTTCTACTGGATAGCCCTCATCTTCCTCTCCCTCTCTTCTGGATAGCCCATCTTCTTCTCTCCTCTCTTCTGGATGGCCCTCATCTTTGCCCTCTCTTTTCCTCTCTTCTGGTTGGCCCTTGTCTTCCTCTCTCTTCTGGATGGCCCTTGTCTTCTCCCTCTCTTCTGGATGGCCCTCGTCTTCCTCTCCCTCTTTTCTTCTGGATGGCCCTCATCTTTTTTCCCTCTCTTCTTCTGGATGGCTCTCGACTTCCCCTCTTTCCTGGATCCCTCTCTTCTTCTGTCTTCTGGATGGCCCCCTCGTCTTCTCCCTGTCTACTGGATGGCCCTTGTCTTCTTATCCCTCTTCTTCTGGATGGCCCTTGTCTTCTCCCTCTCTTCTGGATGGCTCTTCTTCTTCTCCCTCTCTTCTGGATGGCTCTTGTCTTCTCCCTCTTCTGGATGGCCCTCATCTTCTTCTCCCTCTTTTCTTCTGGATGGTCCCCTCATCTTCCTCTCTTCATCTGGATGGCCCTTGTCTTCTCTCCCCCTTCTTCTGGACGGCTCTCGTCTTTCCCTCTCCCCTCTTCTGGACGGCCCTCGTCTTCTCCCTCTATTCTTCTGGATGGCCCCGTGTTTCCTCTCCCTCCTCTTCTGGATGCTCCTCGTCTTTCCCCTCGCATCTTTCCCTCTCTGGATTTTCTGGATGGCTCTCATCTTTCCCTCTCTTCTTCTGAATGGCCCTTGTCTTCCTCTCCCTCTCTTTTTCTGGATGGGCCCTCGTCTTCCTCTCTTCTTTGGATGGACAGCTCTCATCTTTCCCTCTCTTCTGGATGGCCCTCGTCTTCTCCCTCTATTCTTCTGGATGCTCCTCGTCTTCCCCCTCTCTTCTTCTAGATGGCCCTTGTCTTCTCCCTCTCTTCTGGATGGCCCTCTCATCTTTCTTCTGGACAGCTCTCATCTTTTCCCTCTCTTCTGGATGGCCCTCGTCTTCTCCCTCTATTCTTCTGGATGCTCCTCGTCTTCCCCCTCTCTTCTTCTGGATGGCCCTTGTCTTCCTCTCCCTCTCATTCTTTTTTGGACGGCCCTCGTCTTCCTCTCCCTCTTCTTCTGGACGGCCCTCGTCTTTCCCTCTTCTGACGGCCTCATCTTTTTCCTCTCTTTTCTGGATGGCCGGCATCTCTCTCCTCCCTCTTCTTCTGGATGGCCCTCATCTTCCTCCTCTCCTCTCTTCTGGATGGCCCTCATCTTCCTCTCCCTCTCTTCTGGATGGCCCTCGTCTTCTCTCCCTCTTCTGGATGGCCCTCGTCTTCTCTCTCTTCTTCTGGATGGCCCTTGTCTTCCTCTCCCACCCTTCTGGATGGCCCTCGTCTTTCCCTCTTCTGAACGGGCCCTCGTCTTCCTCTCTCTTCTGGATGGCCCTCGTCTTTCCCTCTTCTGGATGGCTCTCATCTTTCCCTCTCTTCTGGATGGCTCTCATCTTTCCCTCTCTTCTGGATGGCCCATTCTTCCTCTCTTCTTCTGGATGGCTCCCTCGTCTTCCTCTCTTCTGGATGCTGATGGCTCTCTTCCTCTCTTTTCCTCTTCTGGATGGCCCTCGTCTTTCCCTTTCTTCTGGATGGCCCTCGTCTTTTCCCTCTTCTGGATGGCCCTCGTCTTCCTCTCCCTCTCTTCTGGATGGCCCTCGTCTTCCTCTCCCTCTTTCTTCTGGATGGCCCTCATCTTCGTTTCCCTCTCTTCTTCTGGACGGCTCTCGACTTTCCCTCTCTTCTGGATGGCCCTCGTCTTCTCCTGTCTTCTGGATGGCACTCGATTTCTCCCTGTCTACTGGATGGCCCTTGTCTTCTTATCCCTCTCTCTTCTTCTGGATGGCCCTTGTCTTCTCCTCTATTCTTCTGGATGGCCCTTGTCTTCCTCTCCCTCTCTTCTGGATGGCCCTCATCTTCCTCTCCCTCTCTTCTTTTGGACGGCCCTCATCGTCTTTCCCTCTTCTGGACAGCTCTCATCTTTTTCTATTTTCTGGATGGCCGGCATCTTCCTCTCCCTCTCTTCTGGACGGTCCTCATCTTCTTCCTCTCTCTCTCATCTGGATGGCCCTCGTCTTCCTCTCTCTCTTCTGGACGGCTCTTGTCTTTCCCTCTCTTCTGGATGGCCCTCGTTTTTCTCCCTCTCTTCTGGATGCCCCTCGTCTTCTTCTGGATGGCCCTTGTCTTCTTATCCCTCTCTCCTGGATGGCTATACATACACTGTATTGCCCCAAGTATTGGTCCGCCGCCCTTTCCACACACACGACCTTTAATGGCCCCCAGTCTTAGTCCGTAGGGTTCAATATTGAGTTGGCCCCGCCCTTTCCACACACATGACCTTTAATGGCCCCCCAGTCTTAGTGCGTAGGGTTCAATATTGAGTTGGCCCCGCCCTTTCCACACACATGACCTTTAATGGCCCCCCCAGTATCTTAGTCCGTAGGGTTCAATATTGAGTTGGCCCCGCCCTTTCCACACACATGACCTTTAATGGCTCCCCAGTCTTAGTCCGTAGGGTTCAATATTGAGTTGGCCCCGCCCTTTCCACACACATGACCTTTAATGGCCCCCCAGTCTTAGTGCGTAGGGTTCAATATTGAGTTGGCCCCGCCCTTTCCACACACATGACCTTTAATGGTCCCCCCAGTCTTAGTCCGTAGGGTTCAAATTGATTGTTGGCCCCGCCCTTTGCCTCTTCTGGGAAGGCCGTCCACAAGGTTTAGGAGGGTGTCTATGGGAAGGTTGGACATTCTTCCAGAAGCACATTTGTCAGGTCAGGCACTGATGTCGGGGGAGGGGCACTGATGTCGGGGGAGGGGCACTGATGCCGGGGGAGGAGGCCTGGCTCGCAGTCTCCGCTCTAATTCATCCCAAAGGTGTTCTATGGGGTTGAGGTCAGGACTCTGTGCAGGACAGTCAAGTTCCTCCACCCCAAACTGGCTCCTCCATGTCTTTATGGACCTTGCTTTGTGCACTGGTGGGCAGTCATGTTGGAACAGGAAGGGGCCATCCCCAAACTCCTCCCACAAAGTTGGGAGCATGAAATTGTCCAAAATGTCGCCTTAAGAGTTCCCTTCACTGGAACTAGGGGGCCAAGCCCAACCCCTGAGGAACCCCCCCCCCCACACCATAATCCCCCCCTCCACCAAACTTTACACTTGGCACAATGCAGTCAGGCAAGTACCGTTCTCCTGGCCACCGCCAAACCCAGACACGTCCATCGGATTGCCAGACAGAGAAGTGTGATTGGTCACTCCAGAGAACACGCCTCCCCTGCTCTAGAGTCCAGTGGCGGCGTGCTTTACACCAGGGCATCCGACGCTTTGCATTGCACTTGGTGATGGAAGGCTTGGATGCAGCTGCTCGGCCATGGCGGCGGAAATCCCCTTTCCATGAAGCTCTCTACACACTGCTCTCTACGCACTGTTGGGCTCATCTGAAGGCCACACCAAGTTTGGAGGTCTTTAGCTATTGACTCTGCAGACAGTTGGTAACTTCTGCGCACTGTGCGCTTCAGCATGCGCTGACCCCCCCGCCCTGTCATGTGACGTGGCCTACCAATTGGTGGCTGAGTGGCTGTTGTTCCCAGTGGCTTCCACTTTGTTATAATCCCACTAACAGTTGGTGGAATATTTAGTAGCCAGGAAATGTCACGGATGGATTTATTGCCCAGGTGGCCACCTATCACGGGACCACGCTTGGAGTCACTGAGCTCCTGAGAGCGACCCATTCTTTCACCAATGTTTGTAGAAGCCGTCTGCATGCCTAGGGGCTTGATTGTATACAACCTGTGTCCATGGAGGGGATTGGAACCCTGAATCACATGATATGGAGGGGATTGGAACACCTGAATCACATGATATGGAGGGGATTGGAACACCTGAATCACATGATATATGGAACACCTGAATCACATGATATGGAGGGGATTGGAGCACCTGAATCACATGATATGGAGGGGATTGAAACACCTGAATCACATGATATGGAGGGGATTGGAACACCCTTATCACATGATATGAGGGGATTGGAACACCTGAATCACATGATATGGAGGGGATTGGAACACCTGAATCACATGATATGGAAGGGATTGGAACACCTGAATCACATGATATGGAGGGGATTGGAACACCTGAATCACATGATATGGAGGGGATTGGAACACCCGAATCACATGATTGGAGGGGATTGGAACACCTAAATCATCACATGATATGGAAGGGATTGGAAACACCTGAATCACATGATATGGAGGGGATTGGAACACTTGAATCACATGATTGGGAGGGGATTGGAACACCTGAATCACATGATATGGAGGGGATTGGAACACTTGAATCACATGATTGGGAGGAGATTGGAACACCTGAATCACATGATTGGAGGGCGGGGGCGATATAGTGTATATATATATATATATGTGGGTGGGTGTATACCTATAACTCTCTCCTCTTCACTCCCCCCTCTCTGTTGGGGTCCCCCAGGGCTCTGTCCTTGGACCCCTTCTCTTCTCCATCTACATCTCCTCCTTTGGTAACTTGATAACCTTCCCATGGCTTCAACTACCATCTCTATGCTGATGACACACAAATCTATCTTTCTACCCCTCACCTCACCCCTTCAGTCTCCTCCTCACCTCACCCCTTCAGTCTCCTCCTCACCTCACCCCTTCAGTCTCCTCCTCCCTCACCCCTTCAGTCTCCATCACCTCACCCCTTCAGTCTCCTCACCTCACCCCTTCAATCTCCTCCACACCTCACCCCTTCAGTCTCCTCACTCACCCCTTCAGTGTCCTCCTCACCTCACCCCTTCAGTGTCCTCCTCACCTCGCCCCTTCATTCTCCTCCTCCTCCTCCTCACCCCTTCAGTCTCCTCAACCCCTTCAGTGTCCTCCTCACCTCGCCCCTTCAGTCTCCTCCACACCTCCCCCTTCAGTCTCCTCCACACCTCGCCCCTTCAGTCTCCCTCCTCACCTCGTCCCCTTCAGTCTCCTCCACACCTCCCCCCCTTCAGTCTCCTCCACACCTCACCCCTTCAGTCTCCTCCACACCTCGCCCCTTCAGTCTCCTCCCACACCTCACCCCTTCAGTCTCCTCCACACCTCGCCCCCTTCAGTCTCCTCCACACCTCCACCCCTTCAGTCTCCTCCACACCTCGCCCCTTCATCTCCTCCTCCTCACCTCGTCCCCTTCAGTCTCCTCCTCCTCACCTCGTCCCTTCAGTCTCCTCCACACCTCGCCCCTTCAGTCTCCTCCTCACCTCACCCCTTCAGTCTCCTCCACACCTCGCCCCTTCAGTCCCTCCTCCTCACCTCGCCCCTTCAGTCTCCTCCACACCTCGCCCCTTCAGTCTCCTCCTCACCTCCCCTTCAGTCTCCTCACCCCTTCAGTCTCCTCACCCCTTCAATGTCCTCCTCACCTCGCCCCTTCAGTCTCCTCTTCACCTCACCCCTTCAGTCTCCTCCTCACCTCACCCCTTCAGCCCTCCTCCTCCCCTCACCCCTTCAGTCTCCTCCACACCTCACCCCTTCAGTCTCCTCTTCACCTCACCCCTTCAGTCTCCTCCACACCTCCGCCCCTTCAGTCTCCTCTCACCTCCCCCCCTTCAGTCTCCTCACCTCACCCCTTCAGTCTCCCCACACCTCACCCCCCCCTTCAGTCTCCTCCTCACCTCGCCCCTTCAGTCTCCTCCTCACCTCCCACCCCTTAGTCCTCCTCACCCCTTCAGTCTCCTCCTCCCTCACCCCTTCAGTGTCCTCCTCACCTCGCCCCTTCAGTCTCCTCCTCACCTCACCCCTTCTCCTCCTCCTCACCTCGCCCCTTCAGTCTCCTCCTCACCTCACCCCTTAGTCTCCTCCCCTCGCCCCCTTCAGTCTCCTCCTCACCTCACCCCTTCAGTGTCCTCCTCACCTCGCCCCTTCAGTCTCCCTCCACACCTCGCCCCTTCCCTCCTCCTCCCACCTCGCCCCCCCTTCAGTCCTCCTCCTCACCTCACCCCTTCAGTCTCCTCCTCCCTCACCCCTTCAGTCTCCTCCTCACCTCATCCCTTCAGTCTCCATCTCCCATTACTAACCTACTAAGTGACATATCGGCATGGATCCGCTCCCTCCACTCCTCAAACTCAATCTTTCCAACACTGAGCTCTTAGTATTCCCCCCCCCCCCAGCCCGTGCCCCCTCCCCCGACTTCTCCATCAAGATCAATAGCACAACCATCAGTCCCCTCCCCTCATGCCAGGGTACTAGGTGTAATCCTAGACTCCCATCTGTCCTTTCCCACCCCCAAATCCAATCACTGTCCAAATCTTGCAGACTTCCCCCTCCGCAACACCTCCAACCTCCTCCGCAACACCCTCCAACAAACAACACCTCCAACCTCCACAACATCTCTCCAACCTCCGCAACACCTCCAACCACCCCCGCAACATCTCCCCCTCCGCTACACCTCCACCTCCGCTACACCTCCAACCACCGCAACCCTCCAATCTCCGCTACACCTCCAATCTCCGCCAACCTCCAGCCTCCGCTACACCTCACCCCTCCACAGCATCGCCAACCTCCGCAACATCTCCAACCTCCGCAGCATCTCCAACCTCCGCAGCATCTCCAACCTCCCCAACATCCCTCCAACCTCCGCCCATCTCCAACCTCCGCAACCCCCACCTCCAATCTCCCCTACACCCTCCTCCCTCCGCTACACCTCCAACCTCCACAGCATCTCCAACCTCCGCACATCTCCAACCTCCGCAGCATCTCCAACCCCCGCAGCATCTCCAACCCTCCACCCCAACCTCCGCACATCTCCCAACCTCCAACCTCCCCAACAACCTCCAACCTCCGCTACACCTCCCCCCCCCCGCACACCATCCAACCTCCACACATCTCCAACCTCCGCAACATCTCCAACCTCCGCAACACCTCCAACCTCCGCAACACCTCCAACCTCCGCAGCATCTCCAACCTCCGCAACATCTCCAACCTCCGCTACACCTCCAACCTCCGCTACACCTCCCCCCAACCTCCACAGCATCCTCCAACCCCCGCAACATCTCCAACCTCCGCAGCATCTCCAACCTCCCAGCATCTCCAACCTCCCAACACCTCCAACCTCCGCAGCATCTCCCCCCTCCGCAACACCCCAATCTCCGCCCACCCTCCACCTCCCCCCCCCCTCCAACCCCCCCCAGCATCTCCAACCTCCGCAACATCTCCAATCTCCCCTCTGCAACACCTCCCCCCCTCCGCAGCATCTCCAACCTCCGCACACCTCCAATCTCCTCCGCACCCCCAGCCTCCCCCCACCTCCCCTCCGCTACACCTCCAACCTCCCCCCCCATCCCCAACCTCCGCCAACCCACCCTCCACCCCTCCGCCACCTCCAACCTCCCAGCCTCCCCCTCCCCCATCCCCCCCTCCGCAACCCCCCTCCAACCTCCGCAACACCTCAACCTCCGCCCCCCCCTCCGCCCCCCCCTCCTCCCCCCCCCCCCCCCCCCCCTCCCCACACCTCCAACCCCCCACCCCCCAACCTCCGCAACACCTCCACCCCTTCCGCACCACTCAGTGTCCTCCACCCCTCTCTGCCAATCCCTCCACTGGCCCTCCACTCAGTGTCCTCCACCCCTCTCTGCCAATCCCTCCACTCAGTGTCCTCCACCCCTCTCTGCCAATCCCTCCACTGGCCTCCACTCAGTGTCCTCCACCCCTCTCTGCCAATCCCTCCACTGGCCTCCACTCAGTGTCCTCCACCCCTCTCTGCCAATCCCTCCACTGGCCTCCAATCAGTATCCTCCAACCCTCTCTGCCAATCCCTCTACTGGCCTCCACTCAGTGTCCCTCCACCCCTCTCTGCCAATCCCCTCCACTGGCCTCCACTCAGTGTCCCTCCACCCCTCTCTGCCAATCCCTCCACTCAGTGTCCTCCACCCCCCTCTCTGCCAATCCCTCCACTGGCCTCCACTCAGTGTCCTCCACCCCCCTCTCTGCCAATCCCTCCACTGGCCTCCACTCAGTGTCCTCCACCCCTCTCTGCCAATCCCTCCACTGGTCTCCAATCAGTATCCTCCAACCCTCCTCTCTGCCAATCCCTCTACTGGCCTCCATTCAGTGTCCTCCCCCCTTCTCTGCCAATCCCTCCATTCAGTGTCCTCCACCCCTCTCCCCCCCCCCCTCTTAGATTGTAAGCTCCCAGGATCAGCCCCTCCCTCTTAGATTGTAAGCTCCCAGATCAGCCCCTCCCTCTTAGATTGTAAGCTCCCAGGATCAGCCCCCCCCTCTTAGATTGTAAACTCCAAGGATCAGCCCCTCCCTCTTAGATTGTAAACTCCCAGGATCCCCCCCCTCCCTCCTAGATTGTAAGCTCCCAGGATCAGCCCCCCTCCCTCTTAGATTGTAAGCTCCCAGGATCAGCCCCTCCCTCTTAGATTGTAAACTCCAAGGATCCCCCCCCCTCTTAGATTGTAAACTCCCAGGATCAGCCCCTCCCTCCTAGATTGTAAGCTCCCCAGATCCCCCCCCCTTAGATTGTAAGCTCCCAGGATCAGCCCCTCCCTCTTAGATTGTAAGCTCCTAGGATCAGGGCCCTCCTAGTCCCTCTTGTATTGATCTGTATTGTCTCCCATTATATTGTACAGCGCTGAGGACACTGTTGGCGCCATAAATCCTGTATAAAATATATTGTGACGTCATGTACGCTATCCTGTATAATAAATATATTGTGACGTCATGACGCCATCCTGTATATAATAATATATTGTGACGTCATGACGCTATCCTGTATAATAATATATTGTGACGTCATGACGCCATCCTGTATAATAATAATAATAATAATAATAACTAGAAAAGCTCCAATTTGTGGGGAAATTGTGTGAAGTGTTCTTGCCTCCACCAGCAGTCTACAATGGGAGTGGGTGGAGTAACTGGGGGGAGTGGCTTGTCACTCTGCTGCTCACACACCTGGGTTCCTATGGCAACTCACTGTACAGCAAGGGCAGAGAAGAGCGGCTAAAAACAAACTGCTCCAACTTGCTCACTTCACTGGCGGTTGTAGTGTAAAAATGATAACTCCGACAGCGAAGAGCTTTATATTGTGAGAATCACAAGACCCGGACCTACATTGTGATGTCATAGTATGTCTGTGAAATATTACAAATGGAGGCGGAGTCACAGGTTAGAAATGTCCCTTCACATGTGAGGTGGCTAGAGTGGAGTCTCAATGAAGGTCAATGGGCGGTGTGAGCTGCACACAAATGGTCCTATTGTGAGAACTATCAGGACTGTGGCTGAGCCGTGGACATTGTTAGTGGCAGGAGGAGGGAGGGGACAGCTGAACGTTTCCATATCAGGATTGTGTCGGTGGGCGGGGCAATGAGGGAGTGACGGCAGTTTACAGATCATGTCCTGATTTGTCAGCTCACACTCCAGTGTTGAACATTCCGCCATTCATTCCTATGGGACCAAATTCACCACAAAAACACTGAAACGTTCCACAAAGTCATAGCCCACCAATGGGGGACAATCCGCACGTTTCCCTATATTACTGTCTATGGCGTGTAAGAACTGTGGGAGGAGTCGGGGAGGAGGAGTCAGGGGGATGTGGGAGGAGTCAGGGGGAACATGTGGCTGTAATAATCAGAATATATACATGAGATGACAGGAAGTGGGGCAGCACAGTGGCTGAGTGGTCGGCACTTCCTCCTGGCAGTAGTCGGGTCGCTGGTTTGAATCCCAACCACGGCATCGCCTGCCTGGAGTTTGCATGTTCTCCCTGTGCTTGCGTGGGTACTCCGGTTTCCGCCCACACTCCAAAGACATGCTGGTAGGTGAATTGGCTCCTGTCCAGGGGCGGACTGACCATTTGGAAACTCTGGCACTGCCCCGTGGGCCCGGGGTCAGTAGGGGGCCCCATGAGATGCCCCTGGTACCTTTTTCATAGACTTTTTTGAGTTTGGGCAAGGACACAGGGGCCCCATGATCCCCTATTGCCCAGGGGCCCCATGATCCCCTATTGCCCGGGGGCCCCATGAGTTGTCAGTCCGCCCCTTCTCCTGTCTATAGTGTCCCTAGTATGTGTATGTATGAATGTGAGTTAGGGACCTTAGATTGTACGCCCCTCGGGGCGGGGCCTGATGTGATGTACAATATATATGTAAAGTGCGCTAGAGAGAGATCAGAAATAAATACACAGACTGCTCTGCACCCCCCCCCACACACCCACAGATGGCGCTGATGAGCCCCTCCCCCCTCTACACACGGGAGCTACAATACTCACACTTCCTATAACTGACCAGATGGAGGAGACAAATCCCTCCCCTCTCCTTCTCCGGCACTCCCCTCTCCGCCCCCCCCCCCCCCCCCCCCCCCCCCTCCCCCCCCCCCTCCCCTCTCCGCCCCCTCCCCTCCTCCGCCCCTCCCATCTCCTCCCACTCCCCCTCTCCTTCTCTGGCCCTCCCCTCTCCTCCCCCTCCCCTCCTCCGCCCCTCCCCTCCTCCGCCCCTCCCCTCTCCTCCCAATACAGAGACGACTTCAACTCTAATGCAATGAGTACAGAGGGCAGTGCTCCTCACAGTGTATAGAGGGACAACACTCCTCAGTCTATGGGGGCAATGCTCCTCACAGTGTATAGAGGGAAAACTCAGTCTATGGGGGGCAGTGCTCCTCACAGTGTATAGGGGGACAACACTCCTCAGTCTATGGGGGCAGTGCTCCTCACAGTGTATAGGGGACAACACTCCTCAGTCTATGGGGGCAGTGCTCCTCACAGTGTAAAGAGGGGGAAAACTCAGTCTATGGGGGGGGGGGGGGGGGGGGCAGAGCTCCTCACAGTGTATAGGGGGACAACACTCCTCAGTCTATGGGGGCAGTGCTCCTCACAGTGTATAGAGGGAAAACTCAGTCTCTATGGGGGGGTGGGGGGCGGGGGGGGGGCAGTGCTCCTCACAGTGTATAGGGGACAACGCTCCTCAGTCTATGGGGGCAGTGCTCCTCACAGTGTATAGAGGGAAAACTCAGTCTATGGGGGGGTGTAGGGGGGGGGGGGGGCAGTGCTCCTCACAGTGTATAGAGGGACAACACTCCTCAGTCTATGGGGGCAGTGCTCCTCACAGTGTATAGAGGGAAAACTCAGTCTACGGGGGGGGGCAGTGCTCCTCACAGTGTATAGGGGGACAACACTCACTCCTCAGTCTATGGGGGCAGTGCTCCTCACAGTGTATAGAGGGAAAACTCAGTCTATGGGGGGGTGTAGGGGCGGGGGGGGGGGGGGGGGCAGTGCTCCTCACAGTGTATAGAGGGACAACAACACTCCTCAGTCTATGGGGGCAGTGCTCCTCACAGTGTATAGAGGGAAAAACTCAGTCTAGGGGGGGGGGGGCAGTGCTCCTCACAGTGTATAGGGGGACAACACCTCCTCAGTCTTAGGGGGCAGTGCTCCTCACAGTGTATAGAGGGAAAACTCAGTCTATGGGGGGGTGTAGGGGCATGATGGGGGGGGGGGGGCAGTGCTCCTCACAGTGTATAGAGGGACAACACTCCTCAGTCTATGGGGGCAGTGCTCCTCACAGTGTATAGAGGGAAAACTCAGTCTATGGGGGGGGGCAGTGCTCCTCACAGTGTATAGGGGGACAACACTCCTCAGTCTATGGGGCAGTGCTCCTCACAGTGTATAGAGGGAAAACTCAGTCTATGGTGGGGGGGGGGGCAGTGCTCCTCACAGTGTATAGAGGGACAACACTCCTCTCAGTCTATGGGGACAGTGCTCCTCACAGTGTATAGAGGGAAAACTCAGTCTATGGGGGGGGCGGGGGGGCAGTGCTCCTCACAGTGTATAGAGGGAAAACTCAGTCTATGGGGGGCGGGGGGGGGGCAGTGCTCCTCACAGTGTAGAGAGGGAAAACTCAGTCTATGGGGGGGAGGGGGGGGGGGCAGTGCTCCTCACAGTGTAGAGGGAAAACTCAGTCTATGGGGGGACGGGGGGGGGGGGGGGGGCAGTGCTCCTCACAGTGTAGAGAGGGAAAACTCAGTCTATGGGGGGGGGGGGGGGGGCAGTGCTCCTCACAGTGTATAGGGGGAAAACACCCCTAAGTCTATGAGGGGGCAGTGCTCCTCACAGTGTATAGGGGGACAGCACTCCTCAGTCTATATGAGGGCAGTGCTCCTCACAGTGTATAGGGGGGACGGCACTCCTCAGTCTATGGGGGGCAGTGCTCCTCACAGTGGATAGGGGGACAGCACTCCTCTCAGTCTATGTGAGGGCAGTGCTCCTCACAGTGTGTGAGGGGGAAAAACACTCCCTCAGTCTATGTGGGGGCAGTGCTCCTCACAGTGTATATGGGGAAAACACTCCTCAGTCTATGGGGGGGCAGTGCTCCTCACAGTGTATATGGGGGAAAACACTCCTCAGTCTATGGGGGGCAGTGCTCCTCACAGTGTATAGGGGGACGGCACTCCTCAGTCTATGGGGGGGCAGTGCTCCTCACAGTGTATAGGGGGACAGCACTCCTCAGTCTATGGGGGGGCAGTGCTCCTCACAGTGTATATGGGGAAAACACTCCTCGTCTATGGGGGGCAGTGCTCCTCACAGTGTATAGGGGGACAGCACTCCTCAGTCTATGGGGGGGCAGTGCTCCTCACAGTGTATAGGGGACAGCACTCCTCAGTCTATGTGAGGGCAGTGCTCCTCACAGTGTATAGGGAAAAACACACCTCTGTCTATGGGGGGGCAGTGCTCCTCACAGTGTATATGGGGGGAAAACACTCCTCAGTCTATGGGGGGGCAGTGCTCCTCACAGTGTATAGGGGGAAAACACTACTCAGTCTATGGGGGGCAGTGCTCCTCACAGTGTATAGGGGGACAGCACTCCTCAGTCTATGTGAGGGGGCAGTGCTCCTCACAGTGTATAGGGGACAGCACTCCTCAGTCTATGGGGGGCAGTGCTCCTCACAGTGTATATGGGGAAAACACTCCTCAGTCTATGGGGGGGGCAGTGCTCCTCACAGTGTATATAGGGGACAGCACTCCTCAGTCTATGGGGGGGGGC